GCGGACAGAACATCTTCGTTTGTATTTGGTGCTGAGGATCGAACCCGGGCCACACGCACGCTAGGCGAGCACGCTAGGCGAGCGCGCTACCGCTTGAGCCACATCCCCAGCCCTAAATCCTCATTCTTGACTCTAGCATAACTAAAGTGCCCTAGTTTTATATCCCAAGGGCTCCAGGGAAATCAAAAGTACAGAGCAGATCTGTGCCAGACAAGTCCCCATTTTCTGCTGAGCCATAATGTATCTTGGATCTTGGCTCCTTCTGCACTTTCCCTTTTCACATCTTGTTATTATTTTTTTTTTTGGGGGGGGTGCTTGGGTGGGTAGTGCAGCACTGAGGATAAACCAGGGCCTTCCACATACTAGGTAAGCACTTAAAAAAAAAAATTCATTTTTTAGTAATAGGTGGACACAATATCTTTATTTTATTTTTATGTGGTGCTGAGGATCTAACCCAGTGCCTCATGCATGGTAGGTGAGCCCTCTACAGCTGAGCCACAACCCTAGCCCTAGGCAAGCACTCTTAACATTGAGCTCATTCACAGTCCTTTCATTTAAATTTTACTGAGATAGAACCTCACTAAATTGTCCTAGCTGGCCTCAAACTTTCAATCCTCCTGCCTCAGCCTTTCAAATCATTGGGATTATAAATATGCCTGTCTATTCTTTCTTAATGGGGGTGGGGGAAAGCAACTTAATGAAGTCTTAAACAACACAGCATAACCTTGTTTCAAAATAAAAAATAAGGGGCTGGGGTTGTAGCTCAGTGGTAGAGCACTTTCCTAGCACGTGATGAGGCACTGGGTTCAATCCTCAGCACCACATAAAAGTAAATAAATGAAATAGCTGGGCGCAGTAGTGCACGCCTGTAATCCCAGCAGCTCGGGAGGCTGAGACAGGAGAATTTTGAGTTCAAAGCCAGCTTCAGCAACGGCAAGGCGCTAAGCAACTCAGTGAGACCCTGTCTCTACATAAAATACAAAATAGGGCTGGGGATGTGGCTCAGTGGTCCAGTGCCCCTGAGTTCAATCCCCGATACCTCCCCGCCCCCCAAAAAAGTAAATAAATAAAATAAAGGTACTGTGTTCATCTATAACTAAAATATTATTTTTAAATAAATAAAAGAGCTGGAGATGTGGCTCAGTGTAAAATACCCCTGGGTTCAATCCCCAGTACCCACCCACCCCAATAACAACCAAAGAAAGGAAAAAAGAAAACTAAAATGTTCAGCTATAATGTTGCTGCATAAAGTATGACACCATTTAAACTTTAATAATATGCAAACTATTCCTCAGAGTTTAGTGGACATATACATATCTAGTGAAAGTATAAAGAAACCTGAGGGATAATGATGCACTTCAGGATGGAGCTCACTTTGGAGGGGGCGGGAGAGAACATGAAGGGACAGTTAAGACAGGAGCACTGACTATCAAATGGAGTCTTGTTTCTTTTTTTTTTTTAAATAAACATCTTTATTTTTATTTATTATTTTCTTATGTGTTGCTGAGGATCAAACCCAGAGCCTTCCGTGTGCAAGGCAAGCGCTCTGCCACTGAGCTTCAACCCCAGCCCTGGAGCCTTGTTTTATTACTTGGCAAGGAAAAGCTATTTAGTAGGATAAGGCTCTTCATACTCTAGCTAATTCAATTTTTAAAAACCCAAGTTTAGCTGGGCATGGTGGCACATATCTGTAATCCCAGCAACTCAGGAGGCAGAGGCAAAAGGATCACAAGTTCAAGGTCAGCCTCAGCAAATTAGAAAGATCCTGTCTCAAAATCAAAATTTTTAAAAAAGAGCTGGGGGTATAGCTTAGAGGTAGAGCACCTCTGGGTTCAATTCCCTGTAACAACAACCACTACTCCCCCAAATTTTAAAACTGTGTAAAATAATGCACTCTTAGTTTTTAGTGCTAAATGGGAAAGACAGGAACTATGCCTAAATCCATGTTCTCAGTACTTGCCCAAGCTCTTTTCCAGAAGAAACATGTTGCCCCAAACTACCCATTTTTTACTCAGATAATAAAAGCTAAATTTAATTTCAGTTAAATCAGATTGGGAAGAGGGGTCTTGGGTCTGCACTCACGGTTCAGCAAGCATCATGGGTAACGCATTTTCTTGTATCTTGGATGGTCGATTGAAACCCATGGCATAGACTCCCTGGAGAAGCTGTGGCTTCCTAGGAGGAAAAGCAAAGACAAGATGGGTTTCAAATAGTTGAAACTAGTTTAAAGGCCTCTAATCTTACCTTTTCCTACATCTAGCAAGGAATGATGAATGATGCCTTAAAAAATACTATTTAAACTCAACTCAAACCACCATCTTTACCTATTAAGATTAAGATATATATATGTGTATGTGTGTGTGTATTTTTTTTTTAAATATTTTTTAGTTGCCAATGGATTTTTTACTTTGTTTATTTATATGTGGTGCTGAGGATCGAACCCAGGGCCTTCACACATGCTAGGCAAGCACTCTACTACTGAGCCACAACCCCAGTCCAATACATTTTTTTTATTTGTTCTAACCCTACTAAATTTTAATCTGCAACTATTATATAATTCATAAAATAAAGACTGGTTTCCTTTTTTGGAGAAATTCATGCTTTTAGCAGACCCACAAATCGGCTGGTCTTGGATGACAAGTGTTCCCTGCGTACAGCAGAGCAGTATTTACTAATTCATAGCATAATAAATTATAAAAGAAATATCTAAAAATAAATAGTTCTTGCAATATTGCTAAGATGTAGAAATCTTCTTAGAGAATGGATTTCAGTTTTTATTTCTTGGTGCACATGTTAAAACTTGAGCCTCAAAGGCTGGGGATATAGCTCACTGGTAGGGTGCTTGCTCAGCAAGTGTGAGGCCCTGGGTTCAATCCCCAACACTACACAAAAATTTAAAATTGAATCACAGTCCTTTTGTGTTCCACACTCCTTCTAAAGCCAGCTCTGCAAATACACTAGATAACCAAGAGGTAAGAATATTGATTACGCCAGTTTCTAATAGCTAATGTAGAATAGATGACTTTAATTATGTTTAATCAAAGTAAAAAATAAAAAAGCACCAAATTCTTTTTTTTTTTTT